AGGCTTTAAATACTGATGCGGTTATTTGGAATTTGAGCGGAACAGCAGATCTCCAATTCGCTTTGAGTGGGAGCGGTGTTTATACACTCTTTCTAACTGTCTGGAGAATTAAACTACCGATTTGAAATGGAGTGTGAGCCAAAACACTTCGCTCTTTCAAAGCGAATTGAAATTCAGTTTATACATATGTTTTGAATCGCGGCGAAATGAATTAAAGCGACTTATGCATGCGTATAAACGTAGTAATAGTTTGGTTGAGGCCCGAAAACTACTGTTCCCCTGAGTTAGTAATACTTTGACCATCCTGGTTGTGGCTGCCATTCCACAACTCCTTTGTCCTGTAAATCAAATTTACCATGCCTTGCGACTTGCTACCAAGTATTCAAAAAGAATAGACCACCATTAAAGAAAAACTACGGGTTAGGAATTTTTCAACTAACATATTTGTTCAAAAAATTAATTCCTCTGCAAAAGGTGTTCAGCCCCTCTTCTTCGGCAACACAGAAGAGAGAATTCTACTTAGTGAGGGTTATAATCCCTAAGTGCGGCCGAAGTGCGGAGTAGTGAGGGTTATAATCCTTTTGGAAAAAATCAAAATTTCTCCAGTTTTCAAACAGCTCCCAAAGAGTCTGTAGGGGGAATGAGGAGGGGAGGGATGACTTTTCATAATGCCTCATATATCCTCTTTCGTTTAAGGTAGGTTTTCCCTTCAAATCACTTATTAATGGCTCAAAACTTACTCGAGCTAATTACTTGCAAAATTAATTGTATTCAAATTTTTTTTAGTAAGTCATATAGTAATGGTATGTAGAAAGCCATCCGTACGTGTTATTTTTTTTTTCAAATTAATTTTCACCTGGAATGTCTTCGACAGTTTAAATTAATTCCGCTAATTTCCCACTGTGCGACGTAAAAATTATATAGGTTAACGAAGGGCTCAAGTGTTTCGAAACTTTTTCTTAATTAAGGGAAACTCCATTTTATATTTTCTATTGTCTACGACCATATATAAAATTTCGTTTAAAAATTATATGTTTTCTTACCTTATTCCAAAAAGGTCCTTTCCAAATTCGTTTCCAAATTTATGTACGTATGTATTATTGTGTTGTTGAAAATATTTTTATTTGAGACTCGAAGCGTAGGTTTTTTTTTTAAAGCAATGATTGAACAAATTTGTTTGTCTTTCTGATACTCGTATTTTTGGTTAAGCACTCACTAATAAATATTTATGAAATTCAATTGCTGAATAATTAAATTTTATGTATTTATATCTTTTATTACTTTTTGTTTTGCTACTTTTATAACACCTCAGTTTTTATTGGTGAATTGTAATTGCGCGAAAATTTTTGCACTTCACTTTTGTTTACTTTATTTAATTCGTAATTTTTGTACTCATTTGTTTAAACGCACAAACGCAGAGCACTACTTTTGTAAACAAACATTTTATTTTCACATTTCAGTGATTCTATCGAGTAATTTTGACGCTGGAAAGCAAAAGTACACATTTGCCATTAAAATACATACTATATGTATGTACATACATATATACATACATAAATATACAGTATCGAGACAGCAGCGGCGCGTACACACCCTTTTCTGCGCACAACAACGCTGTGGAGCGCACTACAACAAAAACTGAAGTTGAATATGTCTAAAATGCGTGCGCCCTCACTGCCGCTACGAAAACTACGAAAACGTGCAACGAAATTTTCTATTTCACTGTTAACTTAGTTAAAGAATTTTCCTTTTGTGGCACTAAAATAATTTTGTAGTTATTTGTTTTTTGGGCTAGGGGGAATACTTCACTTCCGCCGAGCGAACTGCCGTAAATCACACCAAAATAGAAACATCAAAATGCACTGTGAAAAAAATGTGTGCCGAAACTAGGCGTACATACAAACATAAGCACAGTGAGCAGTGTTGCAAATTTTTTTAATACTTTTTTGCCTAGTTCTGCATTTACACAGCTCCTGCTGGCTTTTTGCTACTCTAAAACACAATTGCTACTTTTTTTTGCTCTGCAGCTGGGGCATTGGCTGCTGCTGCTGCACGTCAAACGTCAGATGCGGCGCCCCCACCCAAAAATGGACAAAACTCCAACCACAACGAGGCCAGGCAGGCTGACAAGCCAACAAACAGCACGGCAAGCAACCAAGCGAGCTGGCAATCAGTCAGTCAGTTACCTTTGTTAGGCTTTGTGTTTGTGCCATAAAAGTCGCCACAGCTGAGAACAAGATCCACTTTGTTTTTGTTGCTATTGTTTTAGCTATTGCAAAAATTCACTTCCTTATTTATTACAAATAAGGTAATTTTTATGTTGCCTGCACAGCAGCGGAAAATTTGTAGGTATTGGAAAAAGAGTTTTATGCAGCTCCACCGCGAAAAAAAAAGGTGCTTGACTTCGCCGTTAGCCTGTAGAAGTCGTTCGCCCTTTCGTTTCTAACACAATTCACAATCTTTATATACTTGGAAGATATATGTAGATAAAATTATGCAGCAACAACAAAACTACCAAATTTTCGCTTCACTACCGTTGCAAATTCGACAACAATAATAAACGCGTTCACATACAAATTTACTTCTTCTACCTATCACTTTACTTGCGCACACGTTCAACCGCCACAATACCAACTCAAATGAAAGCCAACCAAGTACTAATTTACCCGGCACATTGCCGTATGGCGCTGAGCGTTGGGCTACTAAAGTCGATTTGTTGCTGTGCGCATGCAAAGAGTCATCAAGAGCGAACAGCTGTCGAAACTGGTGGAGCGGAGCAGAGCAGAGTAGCTGCATTGCAGTAACGGCAACAGACCTTTTGGCTGCAATGTGTTGCGGAGTTGTTTGGGTCACAGCGGTTGGTGTTTTTTTTTTTGTTTTGTCAAAGCGCACAGTGGGCGCTTTTCTACTTGAAGCAACTAGTTATGGGGATAAAACTAAGGGGGGTATTAAAGTGGACCAAGGAAACGGGAATCACTTTTGTGATACCTCGATTATGAAAGCGCATAAGCTGCCAGACGCAACAGGCGTGCCAACAACAACCTTCGACGAAGGGTACAAACTAGATATCCCTCGGAGTACAAAAGTCATTGCGCCTACCAAACCACAATATTTATATATTCTCAGGCAGTCAGGCGCCTCTAAATTCTCTAAATTCATCCATATATATTTGGTAACTATAGTGAATTGCTGCAGATCACTTAACGCGATGGAAAACCAGTTCACTCTTCAATTGGTATGGGTGCCGGGACATCTAGGTATAACAGGCAATAAGATGGGATCGAGCTTGCGAGGAGGGGCACTCCCCTTTCAATCTCGCCATCTAGCGCTACCTGCTAGTTCAATATACAAGATGTTTTCTTCTCAGAAGAAAGAGCAAGGTGGAGATCCAGCTAGAAATTTGCGATTTGACAAAACTATCTATCCAAAGTAGAGCTGCAAAACTATCGATTGTTGGACCATTCGATATTTTCGTATTGGGCCTCACCACTCGATAGTATCGATACTATCGGTAAGAGAAAAAATATGTGATCCTCACTACGGTAATATTATTAGAGAAAACAGGAATGATAGTTTTAAACACCATTTTAATGTGCTTTACTAAAAATAACAAAATTAGTTTTTTTAAACAACAAAAATCTAAATTGGCTAGTATTGTTTTTTCTTTTATTTAATGTTCATGATTTTGTATCTAACGAAAAGTATGCAAGTCCCAATTTCATAAATTTTACGAAAATTTGGAGTTTACGAGTCATCAAAGTTTTGAGTTTTTAATTATATTTTTTAGAAAAGTTTTGAGCTCAGAATTTTTGTAGTCCATTAAATTTTAGTAAAAAGTGCAAGTTGATTTTTACAATTTTTTTTATGAATGCGTTGTTGTTTTCGAACATATTTACTTCGTATTTGTTTACATGATCGCACAAATAATTATGAATTCTGGATGTAGGAATGACAACTGACATCGAATAACGGAATAAAAAGGCGACAAAAAAGATTTCCGATAGTATCGCGATAGTTACCACCATTCATCGATTGTGGTGAGAAATTGAAACTATCGATAATATCGATAGTGCCATCGATAGTTTTGCAGCTCTAATCCAAAGTGAAATTTGGAAAGATCGAGGGAACTCCATATTCTGTGCAGAGGATAAATCTTGTTGGGTATGGGTCTGTTGACTGTTTATATTAGTTTAGGGAGGCACGCGGAGAGACGTTGGGATAATTGCGCTCTGGAGGAGCTGCAGGGACGAGGTGGAGTCTGTTTCAGTAAGTCTCTTACACTTCGCGAATGTGCCGCACTGGGAATGAGTACACTGAGATTCATGAGTGCTGGAACCTTTGGGCACTTGATCAATTGAGTAGGGGAAGGGGTTATTGAGATCCTTGTGGTATCTTAAGAGGCGCGAAAAATGAGACTTCACCGTTTGGATGCTATATGGTTTAGTTGGGTTCTTATGTAAGTATCTTCGTTCCAAAAATTAGAAGTATTTCAAATGTAGTTCAAAGAGAAAATTTAACAGGCACAATTTGGAGAAAAAAATTTATACATTTATTGATACTTTTACCCATGGTCGTGTTTCTCCTATATTTCAACGCATTCACACAAGAGAGGATAAGTATGTAAGTCGTCGTGCCCTGGCACAACGAAATGCCGAATAAGACAAATGAGTTCAAACAGTTCCAACCAACAACAATAGGAGCATACCCTGCAAAAATCGTTGGACCATGTAGTCTATTTGTGGTATATTGGAGTACTTACAAAAGTGCTCCTCTGTCATGCTGTAGCGGACCAACTCATGTCTCTGCACCAGCTTATTGTTACCCGATCACTGCTCGTGTTTTAACGACATGTGATTGAAGTTAAGCATTTGAAAGTACATTTGCATGTCTGGCTGTAGCTGAACGTGTAGAGATGCTAGCTGTTAGTTCTTAGCTCCCAGCATGTTCGGGTTCGAATGTCGTCAGAGGCAACATGTAATTTTTAATTTTTGTTTCTGGTTTTTATTAATTTCAAAAAAA